CCAGTTGGACCTCTCAGTCGCCGCATGTTTCCTGGCAGAACCAGGAGAGCTCGCAACAGTCGTCCTCCGGGCCTTGGAGTCCGGCTGTTGGGAAGAAGAAGCTCTTGGAGCGTCCGTCTAAAAATAAAAAAAATAAAAAAAAAGAAAAGAGTCAGTACATGCATAAACACAACTCCAAAAAGAGAGTGAAAGGTTCGAAGCCCACCAAGGGTGCCTCCTTGTTGGGGGAGTCGGTTGAAGACTGTTGCATGATGGAGGCCCGCAACATGGCCGCCGCAATCTTGGAGGCGGTAATTTTGCTTATGGCGTCCGCTGCAAAAACAAATAGCAAAGTTAATAAAAATCATAACATGAATGCATGGAACAACAGAGTATTCGACAGGCCGGCTACATCTTGAGCACCGACTGCTGAGGCCACAGGCTGCCAAAAAGTACTCGTCGTAGAGCCATTTGAAGCTCGGGACGCAGTGCAGGGGTACTTGCTCTCGTACCCCTGAAGTAGAGTTCACCTTCGACTCTACTTTGAAGAGTCCTTTATATAGGATCTCTTTCTTAGCCTTGGGGGGAACAGGCGGCATGCTGCGGCCGCCTGCAAGAAAGGGCGGATTCCTGTTCCACCTGTTGAAGCGCTTGTTCAGCTCTGTGTCTGAACTCTCAATGATAAGGAAGGTGCTCCACCAGTCCTTCCATTTGTTTGCTTTACCTCTTGTCATGAGGTAGCCCCTGTGGCTCGTCAATTGATACCAGCCGGTACCGCCTGCCTTAGGGGTCCGGCTGAGGTAGTTCATGTGGGCAAAAGCCTCGAAGTTCGGCTCCACCCCGTGCAGTTCGCACCCGGTCACATAGCCGAGTACGTTGACCCAGGAGTTCGGGGCTAACTGCCATAACCCCAACTCATACCCATCCAAGATCCGCTGAACAGCCGGATGTAGTGGGAAGCGCAGCCCAGCCTTGATGGCCGCCTCGTAGCAGCCAAAGCAGGCGCCATCATAACTAGTACCAGCCGGCCAGACGACTGTGTCTTCTGGATCCGGCACGAACACTAAAAAGCCGGGGCCCATTGTGTGGTTTGCGATAAAGCTCCCCACTTTTTCTTGCATGGCCGTGATCCGGTCCCGAGGTACCGTGCAGTAGTAGGGGGTATTTTGCTCTCGGTGAGAGGCGGATGGCTCCGCCCAAATGTGCCCCTTCTCAACTGCGTGAGAAAGCCTCGCCTCTTGTAGGCGACTGTTTTTCTCTTCTGTTTCCAGAGAAGCATGGCCAGAAGAGCTAGACTCGGATTCGTCCTCTGACGAGTCCGAAGAGGATGACTCCTCCCCTCTCCCAGAGGGGCCCGCCTCCTCTCCTTTAAAAGGAGCAGGAGAGAATGTAGAATTGTCAACTGTAAAATGGGAAGGGGTCACTTTGACTCCTCCCTCAGAAATGCCGGCTTTCAAGCCGCTTTGTTTCACTTCCACATCTGGCGCCTGGTCAGATGTTTCACTAATCGGCACCCGGTGGGAGGAGCCGTCTGAGTTCGAGATCCTAGCCGTCTTTTTTGTTCTGGCCATCATGTTCTGCATAGACACAGATACAGTCGGACTTTGTATAAAGGGCAAAGATGGGTCCAGAAAAGGGCAGGCGACACTCCTAGTCCTAGATTCAGCCGTCCCCGGTGACCGTCTGATCGCTAACCTAGGTCGTGTCGTGTGCTTCCGTGGTGCCATTTCAAAAAAGAATAAAGTAAAGAGAAAATTAAGAGTAAGAGAATCGACGGTTACCTGAACGAGTGACGATTGATGAAGTTCTGAAAATCCTTTGCAGTCGGCTTGTCAGAGCAGGCGGTAGGCAGAAAGGGTCCAAAATGTCAGAGCAAGTTCAGGGGTCCGAATGTTCTCTTACAAAGTTCTCAAGTGTGAAAATGACCGAAGGCAACACTCCCTTATATAGGCGAAGTGAGAAGGCGAAGGGCCACTTCCGGAATTCAAAATTTGGGCGGGAGAATCTCTCGGCCTTTCGCCGAGTGACACCTGTAGCAGGTCGTCGCCTATTACAGGGCGACACCTATCACAGGTAACACGTGACCAGTCACGTGCCACCTGTGAGGGGCAAATGATTAGGGGATTTTGCTCCCACCAATCGGAATGCGCCACGTGGGCCAATCAGGTCCTGCCAAGTGTCCTCCAGTTGGACCTCTCAGGGCTTGCCACGTGGCACACGCTTATTCGTCCACCCTGGACCTATTATGTCATGACACGTGGCATACTCCATGCCTAATGGAGATGTCGGCCACCTAGGCCCAACTTCCGAGGGAAGCCCTATCAGCCCAAGGTTAACCTAAACCTAGGATTGGCACGTTTCCCGAGGTTATAAATACCTCCCTTAATCCTCATTAAGGGGGATTACGCGGATTACACACATTAAACACTCTCACCTAGAGAGACCCAATCACTTTAATTTCCGCATTAACTACTCCTTAATCAAGTACTAACTTGACCGTCGGAGGCGGATCTCCAATCATCCGGAGCATCCGTTTGTTTTGCAGGTACAGGCGTCCGGTTCCAGTCTCGGAATTGTAACTCTCCCGCAGGACATTAGAAAACCCCGAAACACATGTAATATGAAAAGATTATACTTTCTCCGTTTTTGTTTTAAGTAACGTTTTTTCAAAGTACGTACATCAATACAAAACATTAACCAAAAAAATTTGTTAATGATTATCTCAAAAATGATAATAGCAGCCTGTTTTTAACTGCCAAATTTCTTCATTTGGAAAAATAAGTAAATCAAATTTTCTTTATATACCATTATTACTTGAATATATGCTCATTTTGTTTTTAAAGAAAAAAAAAATTAAATAAAAAATAAAAAATATAAAATATAAAACCGTAGTCAATTAAATTTCCAATCTCAAAGCTGCCACATTATAATACTCGTAAATGAACATGTAATAAAACTAATAATGCGTTATTACTACAGTAGTTCATAAAGAAACAAGCCAATAATATTACAACCATATTCTCTTTCTCTCTTTTGACTTTTGAGGACCTGTATTAATTACTGAGGTATAAGAAACTTTGTTTAATTTATTAAACTTTTTTTTTTGACAGGACAAACTATATAAAACGAAAGACAGGACTAAATTAAAAGGACGAAATCAATTTATTAAACTGGAATAGGATAAAAGAGAGAAAAAAGGGTCACAACATGGTTCAGGACTTCAGGTCCAATTTTTATTTTGTTTTTTTTTTTTTTTTTTAAATAAGGCGACGACGGATAAATGAAGAATCTTACTAGTCGGTGTCATCTTGAGTTCTTGACCCAAAGACCCCACGCAATCACACATGCTATTATGCAGCTAGGCTAAGGCTACTTCCTTCAAATATTTCAATTGTTCGTGTAGTTTCTTTGAAACTTACTACGGAGTGCTTATATCTTAGCTTCGTAATCCTAAATTCGAGGGATTATTTTCTTCACCTTATTCTACAAATTTCAGGTGTAATAAGTTTAGTTAACTTCAAGGAAAATAAGTTTTGATGTGAATTCTAAGTACAAATTACAACTAATATAAGCTTTAATAAATTCATAAAAGTGAAAATCGGTTAAATAGAACACACTCTTATGGCTATGATAGATGAGAATAACACCTAAACATGTAGACTTAATGTTAAACTTTATGCCTCTGGATATGAAATGATATTACGTTACCTTCGTTTCAGATTAATTTAAACATGTTGGCTTATACGCTATTTATTAGGCTAACTTTAATTGCATCTTTTTACTAATATACAAAGTACTCCTATAAAACATCAATGTTGCCATGAAAATTGTTGTTGAATTAGTTTAATGTATCATATGTATGATTCATATTTTTAAAATAAATAAACAGTAAATAAAAATGTTAATTTTTAAAATTGTGTGATAGCAAGCGTAAAAGCCAAAGTATTGCGCTTAATTTGAAACTGGAGAGATATTAAATCATCAACGTGAATAAACTTTATGAGATACTAAATGTAGAACTGTTGAAAATAGATTATTTTAACCATACAAGCAAGTTTAGTATTCTGGCATTAAAAGAAATTACATTTTATTTCTTATACCTTATTATAATCCATTTACATTATATGGACATTAATAAGTTTAAAAGAAACAAAAAAATGCTAGAAAGGCAATTCCTTTAATAAACTTTTTTTATTTACTTTTTTTTTAACTATGATAGTATTAACGCTGTAAAAAATAAAAAAATAAAAAAAAAATAAAAAAATAAAAATTTGGTATGAATGTCAGTGTCCCGGACTAATTGATAGTCAAAAGGAAGATAATTGATTCTACAAAAAATCTCTCGCCTCTCCTCTTCTCTCCTCCTCCCTTCTATGATTTCTCTAAAATCTTGGCTGTTTAGCAAGAAATAGTCTAATTTTTTCGAAAATTAGACTATTTCTAACCCTTTTTCCTTAATTTTCTTTAGTTTTGTAATTTAGGTCTCAACAAATCTGCGTCTCCCTATGGTGGAGTCGTTAGTTTTTGTTAGTTTAGTTATTTGTTTTTGTTTAGGGTTTGTTTGTGTGTTAAGGTTTATAAAAAAGGTAATCATCTTTTGCCCTATTGTTAGTTCGTTGGTAAAGATTTGTTCGGGATCGCAACGGTTGTCAAGTTTTCAAATGCGTTCAAGCGAATCAGATGAAAATCATCCTTACAGCTACAACAAATCGTTAGACCGTCTCTCCGAAACGGCTATATATTCCAATGATGTGTTCTAGAGATATACCACAATGCAAGATTTTTTCAACGATCGTAGCTTTGATGAAGAAAATCCTAATTTGATTCAATTTTATGTATTTGTTAATTTAGATTTCACTTATAGATGCCGGATGGCTTTTTATTAATGAATTAATTTGTTTCAAAAAAAAAAAAAAATTGATAGTCAAAAGGGATTATAGATTTTGGTAAAATGACTAGGAAGTTAGACTAACATAAAACCGAACACAAGTATAAATGAAACAGTGCTTATAAAGCAGACATTAAACTGAAATTAATAACAGTTTTAACCAATTAAAAAGCGAAGAATCTTTAAGAGTTCAAACATTGATATAGCACAATGTTTCAGTGACAGTAATTACAAGCCACAATATTTATCAGAACATTTTGCATGAATAACAGGGCACTCTTCCATTTCAGTAAGCTGCGCATATCCTAGCAAGACGAACTCTGAATAGATTGGAGGAATCTGCTAAGAGCCCTGATTGCCATGAACCTACCCTGCAATCGACGTACAAGACAGCAGTATTTGCAGATAATTTTCGATGTACAAAATAATTTGCAGATAGTTCAAACTGAATAAATGTAGAGAATGATACGGAAAAGGGGGGAGGGGAGACATTTTTTCAGAAGGGGGAGGGGGGGGGGGGAGGGGGGTAAAAAGTTATCAGGGGTATCCTCCAAATATTCATCAGTAAAGCTGAAAAAGTACGCCAAAGATGTAAATTCTCGAGCTAATGCATTTTGCTGCAACTGCAGGGGACTATGGATGGTATATCTCCACTGTATGTACATAATTCTGGCATGATGTCACCACTTGAGCACCAAGGTAAAATAAGGGGGGAGGGGAAAAGTTAAAATGTAAGATCCTATCACTAACAAGAAGAAATCATATTAATGTTACAGGGAAAACAGAAAACTGGGTTGATGATTACTCCGCAATTGTTTCATTTGTCTAGCCTCCTCTATCCCTGCAGAAAATGCAAAAAATGTATTCAAATACAAGGTACCTGGAATATACATTATGAGCAAGTTAATGCAAGCAGCAACCTACTAGAATCAGGCCAAAGCCGCTGTAAAAAAAAAGAGCTATAATCCAAACAGAGAATTCAATATACCTAGATAATTTAATTAGATGAGGGACTAATATCCTAAACATCTAATAAGCAAGCAAACTGTATTTAACACTTGGGATGGGGTTTGGGCAAGTTAGTCATTTACATTCCAAATCTACATTTCACCCATGCTAATTTCCTAAATGAACGCAAGAAGGCAAATCTACCATGCTCCATATGATAAAACAAAATATGGACTCGTAGGTCGTAGCAACACAGAACATAAAGCAATATCCATGACTAAATGTTCAAAACATGATTTTGAGCCAAGCTTCATATCTTGCTTTAGAGGTAGATGCTCCCCTGTAGGGATAAATTTGAAAGCACTAACCAAGGCAAGACCTTGCAAGTCTCGTGCAAACGCAATTAAAGATCCATTAGTCATAATGCAATCATAGCGATGAGTGACCACAACACCAATATAAGATGATTACAATGAAACAAGAGGCTTACCATAAAGCAAGATGCTTATCTGTTCTTCATGTTGGAGCAACACTAGAATCAGACCTACATTTTGCATGCACAATAGGGCCCAACTGTGATCTGTCCACACCTACAGTAGACCCAGAAGGTGCATTCAAGTATACAGCCCCTCTATACATCCATTCTTCAGCTTCATCACTGTAAAAATCTTCAAAAGGCTCCCCACATAAAGCACATGTATTCTGATCCTCATCTGCTGGAACTGCCATCTCTTCATCATCCTTCTTTTCAACAACACTCTCAGTTGGCAAAAATCCAGGAGCTGCATCAGTCCCCAATGCTTCTGCACCACTGAGCCACATATTCACACTGACAAACCATTTACGAGATGGGTTGTGCTTACGGTTCTTTGAAATTCGATTTTTAGTCACATGCCAATCCATGTGCTTACTGTGTTCTTCTTGGGTCTTAAACCGAAGGCCACAGGTGGTGCACTGTCTGGGTAGTTCCTCATACAAAGCCCTTATGGCTGACTCGTGACGCACTTTAAGAAGATCAGGGTTAAACTCTACTCCAAGAGAATCCTGATTTATTACAAAAAAGAAAATCAATATGGAGCAAGTGAAAAGGTAATATAACTATACAAGGGAGACAGTTGCTGATACATCAATCATTAACAGCAATTCTACAAGATTCATAAATCAATAGACAACCAAGCTTGGCTTATTTTAGAATTACTGCTATCTTACCTGTACAGGAGTCTGTTTCAATGGGAATAAACCTTGAGCAACAAGAGAATTAAGTAAACCAGTATTGAGTAAACCAGCTATACCAGCAGTTGGTGGTTGGTTAGCAAGGGGACCAGAACTCTGGGGAAGAGGTAAAAATTGAGGATGGGGACGAGGGGCTATAGGGAGCGGTGCCATTGGTGCTTGGAAATGCATATAACCATTGGACATATTTTGGAAGGGTGGATAAGGATGAGAACCAGGTACTGGATTGCGCACATTATTAGTAGCAGCAACCCCATGACCTAGTGGTGTATATCCAAGACTAGATGGCAGTATTGTCTGCGGTGGCAATGATACCGCATTCTGCCGAGGTTCTTGTGGCGGATGCAACTGCTGCAACGATCCTGGTTGTTGTGTGGAATATTGCAAAGGGGTGAAGCTAAGCTGAGGCCGTTGTCCCGGCTTTGCAGGAATCAGATTTCTTTTGTCATCAGTATCAAATTGTTGATTGCCTTGACCAAGGACACTGTAACTATGATTTCTATAATCAAAGGAAGCTCTAGGATGTTTTGGCTGCATATACAAAGGTGGTGAAGGCAGCATATTATGTGAACTTGTAGAAGGCCACGAGCTAGTTGGCACTTGCCCCACAGCAGGTGAAGGAGCTCTTGCTTCAAAAGAATTAAAACCTGAAGAAACACCTCTAGACATAACATTCTGCATAGGGACTGCAGCATAGTGGTCTGCTGACATAGGCTTTCCATCAGACAATGATGACGGCACTCCATTCACAGGTAATATCAGCTGAGAGCTATTCTCTCTTCCAGCAACAGGTACAGGCACAGAGAGACTGCCAGGCAACTTCCAAGCTCCTTGAGAATGATTCATCTCATTTCTAGAAAACGGCCTGTTGGATGATATATGAACACCCTGCAAGTCGATAGAAAGAAAAATCAAAATTATTGAGAAGAATAAGCAATAAAAAAATAAAAAATAAATAAAATAAAATAAATAAAGAAATAGGGAGATCATGATCCCCTTTGTAATTTAAATTTGATGGCAAGCAATAGCAATACTGGTGAGTAATAATACAAACATCTAAATTAAATAGAAAAAAAAAATGAGAGGCCAGGCTCCAGGGGAAGAAAGGATATGGTGATATATTTGACTTAATTAAAAATAAAAGAATAAAAAAAATACAAAATAAATATAAAGTGGCAAAAATAAGAGAGGATATAGGCACTAAAAAGGTAATAATAAATTCTCGCCATTTGGAATCATAGCACTCTGAGAACAAAAATACAAAAATAACCACAGACAACAAAAACAGTTGTAATTGGGTTGTGAGAACATACATCTTCAACAGACTTTTGGGGATCAAAAGGTCTGGAGCCAAGAGTACCAACACCAGGTATGGCTTTAAAGCCTCTGGATGGCAAAGAAGATGCAGTGACGTTGCTGGTCTTTCCATCAGCTAACGTTGGGCTCATATCTTCCCAATCAAATTCCTCTTCCTCGGTATTTTGCCATGAGCTTTCAGTAAGTTTATTCACTGAACCATTTACAATTAGACGATCCATACCAGGAAGTTTGTCATTCAAAGGTCTTTGTCCGTCATCATGTCCATACGCATCAATTAAAGCCCGTGGTCTGTCATGTTCAAAACCATTGCCTAAACCATAGTTCGCAGCATTTTCAAAACCACGATAGGAATCATCAGAGCGAAGTCTTTTCTGCCAGTCACCAGTCTCCTCATCTCTTCCTCTCCTACGTCCATAATTAAATCCTGGACGAGAAGGAGATGCCCCTTCAAATACCCTACCTGGTGAGTTGGACACCATAAACTCGTCAGCTGATGGTGATAAGGGTCTAGCTGGACCACATGCAGATGGAAGCAACTTGTCTGTTGATAGTGGAAACGATGGACGTCCACCATAAGCAGAGGAGTTAAATCTTTGAGCATCAATGTGGGAGGCTGTGCTTTCTCCTTGATATAAATCATATTCTTCATATCCAACAGAATGTTTCTGACCCAGTGACTTCAAGGTAGATGCTCCTCTCCCAAGTTGAATTTTCTGCATAGGATAAACAAATTAATGGAACAATCAACTGCCAGTGTTACAACTTACACCATAAGAATGCACAATGCTTCTCTTGTTAGAAAGTATTAGCCAAACACAAGCAAAGAAATTGAAAAACAACTAGAGCATGACCAAACGGTCCGCTTCCATCCAGCAATGAAAAATGGAAAAAGAAGAAAACTAATGGAAAAAAAAGAAGGGAGATCTAGCAAACCCAATAGACCAAACAAGATCAGGGGTAGAGAGAGAACAAGATGTGGAGGAAAAAGAATACATATACCAGTAGGCAGTAGCCTTATCAAATAATAATTAATAGAATAGCATTATAAGCTAGTCGTGTTTATGGGACAATTGCGTTGCAAATTCAAATTGTGAAGGAAGAAAAGTACATGAAAAAGAGGGGGTGGAAAAGAAGGGAAATAATCAGCACTGAATAAAATGAGCTTTATTTTGAATAAAATAATTGGAGAATTCTCATAAATTTCAGAAAAGAAATTTTTTTTAAAAAAGTAACAATATAATTTTAAAATGGGAAACGAAACTGTTAACCACAAATTAGAATATGGGTTAAATTTTTATTCTATTTTGGTGGGGGCATAGGTAGATAATTGAAAATGCAGTACATTATCATACCCAGCAAGGTTTTTACAGAAAACACATTCACATGCTAATTCTTAAGGACTACCAGAGGCAACACAACATGTACCAAAAAATTATATTTAAAATTTAAGGTTGTTAAAAAGCAATACCCTCTAGATACCTTAACAAATTTAAGGTTGTTAAAAAGCAACATGTAGAATGAAGAGGACAAGGGAAATAGCAGTCACATTGCATCATTTTGTTGTTTTCCATTAATTGAAAGTAGAAACTCTTCAAAGTAAACCGCAATTCAACATATAGTGTAGGTTCATAAAATGATATTTTGTCAACCCTAGCATCGTTGACAAAGGCAAATAGAATACCTAGAGAATGAAAAGGAAGAGAAGGATGTTTGCTTTGAAACTTACATTATTAAGTGAAGAATTATCAAATTGCCGTCTGGCTTCCAGATACTTGGGATTGACGTGAATGCCATGAGAGGGTCGAGGGGATTCGGAAGCCCTCATACTGGCTAAGTTGGAAGATGGTTGGTTTACCCTTGGAGAGAACTGCAACTCATCCTCAATCATACTAAGAACCAATGATGGGAAGACGGTAGACCAGGTTCTAAACAGATGGCGCATTGAAGGATACAAATTTGGAGGGACTTGTCTATAAACTTCACAGAACACCTTATACCGGAAATAAAATATAAAATTTTATTAGTCAATAAAACACTCAAAGCAGGGCTATTAGCTAAAGGCTCTATAATACTTGAACAAATCTAAAAGCACATAGCCATTGAAACATGTCATATTGTAACATTTTTCCACAATATTTGCATCTTTTTGGCCGAATCTCAAGCACATTAATATCAAATATTGAATACAGGGTCCTGGTCCAACGCTTCCACATCTCACAATTAAGGTTGTAACCAATTGCTTTTGGAAGTGTAGCTACTTTGTCATGAGATGTGATAGCATTGGCCTTGACTCTTGAAAAAATCAGTAATCAAACCTTTCCCCACCCCCCCCCCCCCCTCTAATCATGCCAATGCTGGAAAGTTCTCCACAAAGTTTGCATCGTATAAGCCAAACCCACGTAATTACAAGGACATCAGAAACTTCAGTATCAAAGACTACAACAATGAATGTACTCTCTCAAAATCGACCCAAGAACTAAAGCATAGCTCACCTCCGGCAAACGAGAAGCAAAGTGCCTAGCGTATTCGCGACCGATATTCTTGACAATGCTGTCCAATAAATACAAAGAGGGCATCTTTTGATCAACTGGAACCTGCATAAATATGCATAACCAGCAATGTAACACCACAAAATCGAAGCTCGGGAACAATATTATAGCTTAAATTCGAGTACAAAACCTAACAAATAAGCACAAAATCTTCAAAAGCATAATTAAATTTTTTAAAAAAAAAAAAAAAAAAGAGAGGGAGAGAGATAATTGAAGTCCAAAATCTTGCTATGCACTAGTTAATTTTGATGCACTGTACAAAATCAATCATCAACAACAACAAAATTGAACTCAAAACTCAACTAAAATTGATTACACCTTACAAAATTACAGTATCCCCTGATAAAACCCTAACCCTAAAATAACTTCCGATTTGAATTGGAGAGCGGTACCTCTAAAACCCTAGCACAAATAGCATCAGCAATACCCTCAGCATGTTCTCTCTGTTCACCAGCAATAATCGTAAGATCTGTAATTATTGGCTTCGAATTAAACGTTAATTCCGACAAAACATCCTCGTAAAAAGTCACAATCTCTGCCATAGAAGGCGGCGGAATACAAACGAGTTCGTCTCCATCATCTTCGGAAACCCTAAACTGGGCTTCTCTTTCACTGAGAAGAAACCGAAATCGATCGAGAATCGGCGATGGAGCTGCCGGCTTTGGAACGACGTCGCTCGGCATGAGGTTTTAGCAGCGGTGGTGGAACGAATTAATCGATGAGAAAAAACCCCAAATTGAGAAATTAATTGAGAAAATTTAGGGTTAGGGTTAGGGTTTTGGTTGAAACTCTCATCGTCTTCCATTGATGAGGTTTCTTGCTCGCCATCGAACCACCATTGTTAGAGGAGAGAGAAAAGAAGGGAAGTGTAACATAGGGAGTATGAATGAATGACAGGGGGGAAAAGAAAACCAAGATTCTAGTTTTCTATTTTTTTTTTTTTTTTTTTTTTTTTTACTTCAAAAATATAACATATGGAAATTATTTCAAACAATTTATACAGAGTACGGAGTACTATACTATCGATGATACATTGATATGGATTTGAATATATATATAAAATTCAGGTGGAGTTGGTCCGTGAGAGGTTTTTTTCACTTCGATAAGATCCTTTATCTTACCAACAAAAGAAAAAAAATATTTATAAAACCGGGTTGATTGGGTTAAGTTGAGATTAAATGTTGTATTTTAGGCAGTATTATGAATTTAGTTGAATGATATTTGTTCACAACCTAAATCTTTTGGGTATACAAAAAGGAAAGTTCAAAGCTCAATTTGTTTATGCAATCTATACTACTACGTATTGGTTAAAAGTATTAGAGGTGAGAGTTTAGCAAATGTTCATCTTTAACAATCTCATGCAATAAATATTCTAGATAGTTGAGTTTACCCCTGATTAACTGTGGTTAATTAGATTCCTTTCTAAAAAGAAGAGTTAAAATACATTATACGGAATAGCAATGCGGACAAATTATCTTAAAACAATGAAAATATGTTTTGTTGTACCGATCCAAACTTGCATCTATCGATTTGCGTAAAGTATGCTTATTTGGTGATAAATCGTCAAATTTATAGAGGAGTGCTAAGAGAAAATACGTAAATAAGAGGAATCTGAAGTGAAATTTATTGGAAAAATTGAAACTTAATCCCACCCTTGACTCATCTTCTCAAAATAATCCCACCTTTTGAAATTCTGGAAATAATCCCACCTTATTACCTCATCTTTTCAAAATGGGCCATTGACCGGATCTCTAACTTGGTAACCTGTAGAAGTAGGTTATTTACCACATGACAATTTCTAATTGGCCTAATTTTAATATTTTTTAATAAAAAACAAATCAGCCCCTTGTCTCCCCTTTCCTGTCCCTATCCCCTTCCCTCTTCTCGACCCCCCCTTCTAAACCAGCACCGCCACTGACCCTTGCCGGAGCATCCTTACTCACTTTTGCCGGATCATGAGTGATGGAGGGGTTGCCATGAAAGAAGGTGATAAGGTGGGAAGAGAGAGATTAAAGGAAAAAAAATTAAAAAAAAATACCTGTTAACCGATTGTAGGTAGAAAGAATTGTTTTGAGAAGATAGGGGAATAAGGTGGAATTATTTTCAGAATTTCAAAAAGTGGCATTATTTTGAGAAGATGAGTTAAAGGTGGGATTATTAATTTCAATTTTTTCAAATTTATTTTCTTCTAATATTGTAATGTAAGATAAATACATAATACATGAGTTTCTTGTGTCTATGAACATATACGAATTAATAGAAAATTTTTATGATCCTTTGTCTCTTTTAGTTTGCCTTATTGAATTTCAACATTAGTTTGCCCAAAGCCCCAAATGTCTAATACAACAACCAAGCCATTTTAGAAAACACACAGCCCAAGCCCAGGGATATGGGCATTTTACGCAAAACAATGGCCCAATAATCCTAGGAAAAAAGCCATACATATAGAACGATAGCTCATGGTCCGATAAAATCTCATACGAGTATTGCAAAATGCAAATAGCTCTGCTAAAAAGTTCACCAACCGGTGATTTTTGAGGCGGTTTCGGTGGATCTTCATACTATTCTATTGGAGGACATAAACTTTATTGTTTTGGCTAGGAAGATACCGGTGTTTGTTGAGCTGCTGGCATAGTGGCTATTTGCTAGCTTTGGTAGTTTCTTTTATGTCATTCAGCGGCGGACCTGCCTTTGTGCCTGGTGGGTCAAATGACTCACCAGGGCCCAAAAAAATTATTAAGTTTCTTAAAAAAAAAAATTAAATAAATAAATTAGTTTGTTAATTATTGTGATTATTATTTTAGGTCAATTTTAAGCTTGTTAATTATAAGTTAGTATTGTAATCTTGTCAATTTTCTATTTGGATGATCTTTGTAAATAATTTTTCTTAGGAATTTTGGTAAAAATTTTTTTTTACATATTTGGTTATCGATTGTGACTCACCAGTCGGAAATTCCTGGGTCCGCCACTGATGTCATTAGCTGTTTTTCCTTTTCTTTCTTGTGTTTTTGTTCTACTCTTTTATTTCTCTTTGAAACTCTGTCCTTCTCTTGCACAAAAAAATAACACTTAATTGATCAAATTTATATTCGGACTATATACCTACATTAACAGTATGGATATGTAAGGTACTGTAATAATTGATATAAAATACAACTCAATTGCAACCATTGACACGAACTTATCTGCATAAATAAATCAATATGAAATTTGACATTAAATACACTAACTGATCACATAAGCCCGATAAATAAAGTTTAATTACATCATTAAGATGGTCTTTTAAGACATAATTCATTTGATGACCATTGACCAAGTTAATGTCTCAAGATTTGAAAACAAGTTCATGTCAAATATCATAGATAGTGCATAAGCTTAATATTGACCGAGCAGCCAACTTAAGATATACTTCGTATAAGGTGTCTATTAATCTTTCTTTAAGATAGGAAGACTTTAGATTCTACTCCATAGTAGTTTTCCTTGAGATAGGGGGATTATTAGTACTCATATACCTTTCCAAAAAAAAAAAAAAATGACCGACCATCTAAGATATTCGAGGTGTGAACTCAATATTGAAAATGAACCGACTAAACTATTATTAGTATCAATTATAGCAATATTTCATGCTCATCTATGCATCACCGTAAATCATAACTAACAAATCAAAAGATCGTTATCAAACAAATATCGTTGCTAGGATTCCCCACTCAAAAGGTACACATTTCATAACCGTGAAATATTCAGTTGTTTATTTTTGTGCATCGTTTTTTTGAATCAATTAAAGCAACTGCCTACCACAAGAAACACAAGACTTAATTTTGGACCGTTATTTGCATTTCAAGTGGGGTTTACAATTCAATTATAAGTGTGATAGTTACTCGTACGTTGCTAGGAAACTCCTGCAGTCCTGTGCTCAACATATACCTAATGGCTAATGTTGTTTGGCATGCTGATGAAGCGATGAATGCTAATATTATTAGTAACCTTTTTCACGAACAAGGCGCGAATGTGAATGTCCATTTTTGATTAGTAGCCGATAAAAATTAAACGAAAGTCTATTCTTTGCCTTTGGCCGGATTAGCGAAGGTTTCTCTTTAACTTTCAACGGGTTTAGGCAAAGCTTGCTTATTTGCCTTAAATCAACGTAGGAGAAGGTGCTTTTTTAATTTATATTTTTACGACATGGATTTCAGTTAATTTAGTTGGTGAAGGTTTAAAAGGGTATTTAACTCGAAACTTAAATTGCATCAACTTTTGTTGAAACCCGACCTTATTGTAGTCCAATTCACTTGTGAGTTGTCTTGCATTGGAGAAAAAGAAGAGAACGTACCACTGTATAAGATAGATGAATAACTCCTATTGTCACCAATTGATTTTTGTAAGGAACCATGTTGTGCTTTGTAAGTAAATCAAACTCTTCTCTACCTGCAATCGCCAATTGATTTTAATAACGAACTCTTTTTACACGAAATAAGAACCACTCCGTATTTTTTTTTTCCTCGAGATTTAGAACATATAGAATTAATTTACGGTTCAAAACATGCACCCGATGTTCATGCATGGGCAGCATGGCACAGCAATAATTGAAGAGATATACGTTTTTATATATTCCTAGAAAAACATGAACAGAAAACCAAGACATACCCTAAGAATCTAAGATCAATAATTTCACATACTTTGGCCTTTCTTGATCAACCTGGCTACGTAGTATGGGCTAAGGCAGAGGTGAATTTGGACCATTTGTTGTTGTTCTCAGTATTATTGTCATTTCTCTGGTTATTTTACATATTTGCTATGCAAATCTCAAACATTGCATGATACTGCACCGGTATTTATTTATAGGCAGATTATCATTAGCATAAAACACTTAAACACCACCTAATGTAACGCCATTAGATTAGTGTGACAAACCTCCTAACCTATGTCATCATATTTAGAACATTTCCCGGAATCCATCCGCTACTAGATAATTTTATACCCAGTAATTTATACTCTCTATTTTTATTTTAAGTGACAAAATAAGTGTATGTGTGGTCGATAGGAGTTTAATTCGAGCTACTAATCTTGCTATTGTCAAAAGCCATTAGTGAAATAATACGATAAATCATTTCTTTGTACGAGTTTAATTCCAAGCTACTAATCTTGCTATTGTCAATGCCAGTAATGAAATAATACAATAAATCATTTCTTTGTACCTTCCAAATTAAAAGAGAACAAAAAAACTTTTGTAGCAAACTTGGCCATTTGGGTTCTTGTAGGACCCAAAACTTTATGCATGTTGAACTAATGAAAATGACCTTAGCACTTAAAAATTGAATTCAAGCCGTCAATTTGTGATGCAATGGGTCCATCGTTAAACTACGAGTACATTCTTAGGAGAAATAGAGGAGAAAGAGGGAAGAGAAGGATAGGGGAGGAGAGGTAGGTAGCTTAGACTCTTTGAGGGTCTAGTTGGTACGCTCGTGTAGTTTAAGGTGTTGTCGATCTACTAGCAAAATCGCGGTAGTTTGGTTTACTAGGTTAAACCACTATACATATAAATAGATAAATTTTTATGTGCAATCGAATATCTAAGTCCACAGTGAAATAGTGAATAGGTGAACTTAAGGCCGGGTGATTTTATGCTCATTTAAAGAATTTAAAATGAAAATCACATGAGTATATAATTTGAGAAAATTTAATGATACAACTTGAGTAGTTAATTAGATTAGTGCCCGTGCGATGCATGATAGTATAATCTTTTTTCCATAATTAATTGTGATATAATATAAAAATGAGGCAACTCATGTAGAATAAACAAATGCAATGAGTATAGAAAATAAAACAATAAAGCAAAAATAATTAAAACTACAATTGAAGAAAAAAAATTACTGTTGATTAGTTGTGTTGAAATTCAAAGGTAGTACATTATATTACATTAATGATACATATTTTTCCCAATAAAACTATACAATCTAGTGGCTATATGACTAAATACTTATTTATAAATGCTTTTTAATAAACATGATAATATTAATCAAACAACAGAATAAAATCTACAATAAAATTATTACGTAGCACTACATGTAGATATATAAATTACAAATATTATATCACCTTATATCCAATAAAATAATTTCAATGGAAATAAATACTACTCGGATCATTAAAGGCGATAATAATCCATAATTAGGCAACACTAACCTATATTATTAATAATACATTTTCTATTTATGAATTGGTGCTCTACATGATATCGTCGCTCTTTGTTATTATATAAAAATTTGTTTGAAGCTATTCAATAATTGTAGTTTGATCATTGTTTGTTTATTGCCTTAAAAGTTTATTTGTAGATGATATATATTTATCGAAAAAAAAGGATACACAATAAGATGTCACTTGTCACTACGTCCGACGTGTCTTTTACTATGCAGCTTATTTATAATGTTGAATGTAATAAATTTATTATCTTAATCAAATGTTTCAGCAAATTAAAGATAATAATTTTAATTTGTTCATATTTACTAAGATATATTTATTTAATTACATAATAACAAAGAATTTATTGATATTTCACATTTTCATAGAATTACTAATTAGACATATGATATAGTTGTCGAACACATCATTTATTTTATAGCCATATCTAATATTCCATTAGTCTAAGAAACAAAATATCAGAGGTATTTGAAAAAAAATTAAAGTGATGTTTTAAAGTAATTTCTTTAATATCAATTATGTGAATCAATTTGATTATTACTTTTTGGGCAAAATTCAATAAAAAAGATATCCAGGCGGTAATGATAGTATCTTATACTTGAACCAGTGACTCACTTTTTCTATAATTTAAAAAGAGTTGGAGTTAAGAACATGAAATAAAAAGAAATAAATATTATGTAAAGATAATAATATTAGTATAAAATTTGGAATAATATTATTGTAGTTGTATTATACAAATATTCCAAAATAAAAGATTTTATGCTAAAAAGGGAGGGCGAGTTTTGGAGGGAAAAAACAGCACCAGGAAGTGACACGTGTCATTCCTGGTGTCTGTTTTAGTATTATGTTATTGATGAGTTGTATTACTAGATATATTCCCTCTATATCTAAAATAAGTGCAATAGTTTGTCTGTTTTACTGTCAAAATTATTATGTGAATAATGCAAAAGTCAAACTGATAGATGCACCTATTCAAAAATGAAGAAAGTAGTTGATAGAGAATTTATCATATATGGTTTTAAGATTAAGAATTCGATTCTTACTAGCTGCAATTCTTAAAGGTGATTTTTATTTTTATTTTATTTATCCTTTATCTAGATTCCCAGAGGACTGGTATAGATCGATGTGCTTGTTCACCCGTGAGGCATCTTGTTCCAGTTAAGACTTTCTTTCTTTTTGAAATTTTTAAAGTTATATTAAAATCATTTGTACTTCGAAAATTTATACTACGTATTATATAAATTAACATTTTATTATAATAATACAACCTATTCTATTTCCATCTCTGCATATAGAATATAGGCTAACAACCCTTGGAACAATTGCTCTAGGTTGACATATCGTTACAAAGAGCTCGATCATCAAATCCCATTGCCTGTTAGTGAACATGTGACACATACACACATTACTTTATTCTACGGAGTACTAATGAATTACAAGTATTAACTATTTACTTGATTCTCCATATATTACTCAATAGTCAATGCCAATGTCTAACAAAAGAAAATCCTATCATCAAGTTTTTAGAAGCAATTCTATCAATAAATCAATACAAAACAACTACATTCAACCATATCAATTAAACGCTTACCATACTCATTTAACTCAATAAGCTTTTACGAGTACATAACAACCACCCGCATAATCTTTCATTCCGTACACCAAGTAAATCCAACACATCTAAATCACAAAACTAATAAACTTAACACAACACAACTAACAGTAGTAGTAATACAAATGAACTCTCTAACCCCAAAAAAATATCAAACAAACGTGTTAACATGAGTCATGCATACGCACATACGTACATAGGTATAATACCAAAGACTTTAGAGAATGTGACCTTAGATTTGGCTCAACAGCTGTTCTATTTGTCGACCTTTTCGAACCTTCGATGAGCCGACTCAAAACCCCCATAATATACGTCAAAAATACACTTACATTTTCCCTAATTTTCCACATTTCACCTATTTTTACCACTACTTTTCAAACCAAAAATAAACTCAAATTCCCATTTTTCAATAGTCAAAATTTACACTTAACCCATAATTCCATCTATATAAACCCTCTTCCCAAAATTCTTTCTCAAACCATTCTCAAAATCCAATCTTTTTAAAAGAAAACTAGAAAGAAAAAAAAGACCCATCTCAAATTTGTAGAAAATCTCAAAAACCCACAAACATTAACCCATTAATTCACCAAATTTTGAAACTTTATAGTTTATTAAAGCTCAATTCTTTGATTCAAACTTAATTCTTGCATAAATTAACTTAATTTTTACTTCAAATTTAGATTGCACACAAGATGTTTGCTACATTGCGTCAACCAACTACACAATCTTCACTAATCACTTACTCTCTTCAAAAACCAGCATTTTCTAAAGCAGAGCAACTCCACTTTCTTCCAATTTTACCTTCTACAAATAACCCAGAACTTCACACCATTTTTTCAATCAAAAAACCTTTGCATGTTTCTTCAATTTCCCAAAGAAAATCATTAGGAGTTGAATGTAAAGCATATGAAGCTAACCAAGCTCAACCATTAGACATTAACATTGAATTACCTAGTGCACAATCTGAGGCTGCTCAAAGGGTTAAAATTGGTATTTACTTTGCAACATGGTGGGCTTTAAATGTGGTTTTCAATATTTACAATAAGAAAGTGTTGAATGCTTTTCCTTACCCTTGGTTAACTTCCACACTTTCTCTTGCTGCTGGCTCTTTCATGATGTTGATTTCATGGGCTACCCGGGTTGCTGACCCGCCCAAGACTGATATGGAGTTTTGGAAGACTTTGCTCCCTGTAAGTTTCAATTTTGCCTTTTGTGTGTGTGTGTGTGTGTGTGTGTGTGTGTGTGTGTGTGTGTGTGTGTTTTGAATTCTGATTTTTGATGGGTTTTTTTTGAGTGTTGATTTTGATGGGTTGATGAAGCTTACAGTAAATTTCGATTTTTTTTGTTGGGATTTATGCTAAATTTGGATGGAATTTTTATATTTTGATTGGTTTTTTGGTGGTGGTGTTAATTAAGTGGTTTGATGGGGTTTTTGGGTGTTAAGTTTTGATGAGGTTTTGTTGTAACAATTTGATATCTTGGGTTTCAGACTTTCAGTGCTTAATTGTATTATTGTATATTTCATATTTGTATGGTATAATAATTGAACTTTATGTCCTTAAAGTGTCGCTTTCAATGCTAATTTAGGCGGGTTTTTTTGTTGTTTTTTTTAATGGGTCAAATAGTCGAGTGTTTGGGTCTTGTGTGGTCATGTAGTCATGAATCTCATGATGGATCATCTTGGATAGGGTCAGTTATTAATGCTTTAGGTTGATGAGGATTTAGTAGAAAAAGATAATTCTAGGGGGTTTAAGTGATACTTTTTGCCTTTTTATGGTGTTGCTAATGGATGAGCTCTATGTTTTTTAAAGTTTGATGGGTTTTTAGTTAATGTATGTGTCTATATAAAGGTTTGTTTTTGGGAATTATTGCTAATATTGATGGATTTGCATGTGTTATTATCCTAAATATTGATGTGTTCTTGATTGGGGATATGTGTTATTGAAGAGTTATGTTAACCATTTGTATATTGTGTAAAGCTGTCAATTCGAGTGTGCAGTTTGGGTTCAAATTGGGTCTAGTTGGGTCAGAATATTTTGGATTTGAGTCATGCTAAATTTTTGTGTCCATATGGGTCAAATTTTGCTTCGGGTCTGGTCAGTCATTGAACCCGTTTTGATTTTGGGTTATGCAGGTTGCAGTGGCTCATACAATTGGCCATGTAGCAGCAACTGTTAGTATGTCTAAGGTTGCAGTTTCCTTCACCCACATCATTAAAAGTGGTGAACCAGCTTTCAGTGTGTTGGTTTCAAGGTTCTTGTTAGGAGAAACATTTCCCTTGCCAGTTTACTTGTCACTTCTTCCCATCATCGGTGGCTGCGCCCTTTCGGCTGTCACTGAGCTCAATTTTAACATGACTGGTGAGTTTAAAATTTCTTATTTCCAATTTTGGTTATATATTGTGTGTTACTGTGAACTAGTTTGTTAATGTCTCATTGTTCATTTGCAAAGTCAAATTCTGAGGCTTCTTGTTATATTGGTGATAGGGTTTATGGGTGCTATGATCTCGAATTTGGCATTCGTTTTTCGGAATATTTTCTCAAAGAAAGGGATGACTGGCAAGTCTGTTAGTGGGATGAATTACTATGCATGCCTTTCAATGTTGTCTCTTTTGCTCCTTACACCGTTTGCACTTGCTGTTGAGGGACCTCAAGTATGGGCTGTTGGTTGGCAGAATGCAGTTGCTCAGATTGGACCAAACTTTGTATGGTATGTACAAAAATTCCAGCTTTCATAAATTGATTTGTACTGCATGCATTTGTTCTCATTTGATGCTAAACTTACAGTAGGTTATGTAAGAAGTGACTGTAAGTTGTAACATGGCCTCACAATAACTTTTTGGTAGTCCGCCTCTGACGAGATTTTGCCATTTCCCTGTACTGCATTTTTACAAAAAAAAAAAAAAAAAAAAAAAAAAAAAAAAAACTTTTTATGGTATTTATTTCACTAATCATTAACAAGAAGCTATTAACCTGTGCTACAAAAACGTCAATAGTAACTCATCTAAGAAATAACGCAGAATCACATGATTATTACTCTTTGTCGAGTGTACAAAATCAGCCTCTCCAAGGGATACTTTGGTGAAATTAAGTTAAGTGATTTTAACAAATAATATCATTAAGAAATTCCTGAAACTCATGGTTCTTTAGACTTATTTCATCATTTTCTGAATAAGTTGATATTATTCACCATTTGTCATATACTCATGTTGATTACCGAAGTCTCCTTTGTTTTTGAATAGGTGGGTAGCAGCTCAAAGCATCTTCTACCATTTGTACAATCAAGTTTCATACATGTCTCTGGACCAAATCTCTCCCCTTACTTTCAGTGTCGGGAATACGTTGAAGAGAATATCGGTTATAGTCTCTTCCATAATCATTTTCCACACTCCTATTCAACCTATCAATGCTCTAGGAGCTGCCATTGCAATCCTTGGAACTTTTATCTATTCACAGGTAATAAGAAACTTTCTCTTCCAAAGTTGAGATTATTGTTGCAAGCTTGATTGTTTCCCTATAATCTCAATCAGCGATTAAAACTCTCACTCAGCATATTTTGACATCAAATTGTATCAATCTTATTTCATGGCAGGCAAAACTGTAAGGCAATCAGAAGGCACTTCAGTGAGAGTAGAATGTAAAGGGGTGAAAGTTGGATGAAGAGTTGGGAAAGGGTGAAGAACATATGCAGCAACGGAACGGCCTAGGAATCAAACTCTGATGAGTCTTTCGTGTGATATGATGCGATGCAGAAACTTTCTTTAACCATGTCTAATAAGAGTAGATGCAGTCCTTGAAGGGTGGAACTAGCGCGAAGGGTAATCTTTTGCATAGACATACATCAGATCTATAGTTCATCTCTTTGCTCCATAACTAAGTTTCAGAAATGCTTTGTGTACATGTAGCACTTGAAGCTGAGCATCTTTGTAACTTGTGGAATAACTTATAAAATGGCTTTAATCAATTTTGTGAAATTATGAATAAAGTAGAGCTTCATCTGATGAGTTATATACCAATTTCAATCTTTCGTTCAAGAACACAAATTCTAGCATTTTTGCTAGTCCTATATTTTGTTTTTCTGTATCTCTTAGTACCATTTTGATGTAGGATCTATCAATCTCGCGCCTTCCTTTATTAGAGATCTGATTCAGTAATTGAGTAATGGAAGAACTGATAAAAAGAGCAAAATTCCTGATTGATAGCCAGAGAAGTGGTTTATTAGCAGAGGTTGAGTTTGTATTTGTGCAATCTCAAACCGTTACTAAATGAAATATTCATATAATATTCCATATGATATGCTCTTATTCCATATCTTAGGAAATCAACAGAAATACAAGTTGGAAAGTCACTACTCAAAGGTTGTCATTTTCACAAGTTCACCCAATTTTATTCTCATAAATGATGCAGATACTACGAGTAAAAGTCCTTTTCCAATAGATTTATTTCATCATTTACCTCCAATTTTATTCTAGCAATCCTTCTGTTGGTGTGATTGTTATAAAATTGACCTAGGATATTTCTGTAGGTCTCGTAGGTTATGCTATAAGTCTAATACTTCGACTAAAAAGGGTACGAGTCAAGTTTGTCTAATTCATATATGGTAATGATAATAAATGTTTACTCATCAAGCACAATTTATTGAACAAAATCCAACATTATAAAGATAAGTAAGGACCGAAAGAGTAATACACAATCAACTAGAGATTTATATAAGAACACAGTGACTGATGCAGACGATTGGCTGATAAAAGCATCCCTGTAAAACGATCCCTAGAGACTTGACCAGCAATGCTTAGCCCACAGTTAGTGAAAATGCCTCTGTTGTGATTGTTACTGAACCTGCACATTTCTTGGTTGCTGCCATAAGTTTTTAAGTCGCGACAGATTAATTTATAAACAGCACCCCAATGCGTCTCTGTGCCATCCTGGCCAAATTAGCAAAATTATCCAAGCGGCGTACTATGTAGCCAGGGCTCTGAGGAGGGGTTAAAACTTCTTCATTCTCTGATATAATAGCTGCAACTCCTGCACATAATTTTCGTGTGTTTTCCATTGGGGTGATGGCATCAGTCTATAGGACTATTGATATCTTTGTTAAGAAACTAAACTATTGAAGACTATCTTAATTATAGTTTAAAAGATATCTTGCAATTATGTCAGTGATACTTACTATTTCTCTCTGTTGCTTTCCTTCTGTAATAATTTGATCGATCATTGTTGGGCAGTAATTGTGAACTCGATTCTTGTTTCTTCGTGCTGCATGAGAAATTATGTCAGCTATTTATTATCTAGATTCTTAGCATTAGTTCTTAAGATAAAAAAAATTCTGACAATACCTCACAAAAGAAACTATGTCTTCAGGTACATCAGCTTCTTCAATTTCAAGATTACTAGTATCATCCAAATTGGAGTTTCCTCTAAACTTTATTTTTCTAGGATTTTCCCCAGATTTACATATGACCGATGGCAAACTCTTGAGCTTGTCACAGTTCCACACAGAGAATCGGCGGAAGGCAGGCCACTCAAGTGCCTGTCCGTCAGCATATATGCTTTCCAATTGTAGCAAGTCGATCAAGACTAGTTCTTGTATTTCTGGAAGACAGCAGGAAACAATTGTGTGTGAATCGGTACTTGAGTTTGCAGTAGACTTTATGATCCCCAAAAGTGACCAGCATTTCCTTATAAATATCTTTTCGAGGCTTCGTAGACAGTGCATCATCTCTATAGAGAAAAGATAGTTCAAGCCACTACAATCATACAGATTCAGGACCTTCAAGTTCTGAAAGTGGATGCCTGTTTTCTCGAGTGTGTTGCTGGGACTTAAGCTGCCAGACCTGCATGCACTCAGGTATAGCTCCAAGGTTCCTTCTGGAAGTTGATGACCAACAGGGTAGCCGTCAATGAATGCTATACTGTTTTCACCTAAGTTTCCATTAATGTTGAATCCACCAACACAGAACTTAAAACGAGGTGCACGTGGGCGTGGCCTTGTTCCAGGAATAGCTTTCATGTAGTCACTAAACACCTCTTTGTTGAAGAAATTGAGTTGTAGAATCCTCAAGTCATTTAAATAAGCGAGCTCCTCAACATAGGCTTCCCCTGAGTTTGACCTCATTTGTTTCGATTTCCAACTATAAGCCTCAGCATCATTCATCATGAGAAGCAATTCTTGCAAACTTTCTAATTCACTCACTAATCCAGCTTGGAATTTGGTCAGTTTGGAGTGGGAAAGGTCTAGACGCCTAAGGTTTTTCAACTTCTCCATTCCTAATGGTAGTTCTTCTAAAGGTGTTCCGAAAAGGTCTAGTACAATCAGTTCTTCGAGGTTGGACAAGCAAGGTAGGGATCTCAAGTTGAGGCAGTAGCGTAAATAAAGCACTTGAAGGAATCTCAGGTTACAAATTGATGATGGGAGGTTATAAATATTGGTGCAAGATAGATCTAGTAATTTGAGATTTGGGGTTCCAGTGAAAAAGTCATCTGAAAAAAGATCAAGTGGGTTATTCTGGAGTAGCAATGTGGACAATTTCGGACAATTGGGTTGATTTTTAAGCACTCCTAGTTTATTGTACATGAAAGAGGCTCGTAGAATCTCACCATTCTGATCATCGATTGATGGAAAGTCTGTGAGATCATTCCCTGAATCGATAAGCATCCCTGATCCTCGTATCAAATTCACTGCCATATCGTTTAGTAAGCTGAGCATCTTGACTGTCTCTCTGGTGCCATTGGAGTCTGCTTTCTCTAAAAGACGCGCAGTTTTAAGTAATGTCAGTATATTCTTCCCTTTCTTTCTCTTCTCTTGCAGTGATACAATATACTCATCTAGCAAACCTGCCCATATCCAATTGTCTATCAACTGTTCTACGTCGATAGGACAACCTTTTGGATACAAGGCACAATACAGAAAGCAATTTTTATAGGTAGTATTTTCTAGCTTCTTGAAGCTGCATTCCAATCTCTTAAACTGTGTATCAGCAGAAGATGCAGGCTTAGTTCGGCTACTCAACATTTCCTTGAGCGCGAGTATAGAAGAAATCTCACTCGAGCTTTGACAATGTATACCTCTCATATGATATGCCAACATGATGATTTCTGATGGCAATCCCTGACAATTTTCTACTGCTTTCTTCATCAGATCCACTGCCTCGCCCTTTAAATTAGGAAGGGGACGGCCAAGACTATTCTCGAAAAATTCCCATCCATCAGAGAGAGGTTTTATCTCAAAATACTCGTCTTTGGCAATCTTATTACACGTAAGTTGTGACCTGGAAATCAATATAACCTTGCAAACTACTCCTGCCTCAGCTTCTTCCTCTGGAATTCCAATATCTCGAAGGGTGAAATTCTCCCATAAGAAATCAATAAAGACCAAACACTTTTGCCTTCGAACAAACTCATCACGAATCTTTGTAGCTCTATCTCTATTATCATCAGCAGCAATTATCTCTATGTTAAGACTCTTCATGATCTTCTCTTGGAAACTCTTGAGTTCAATTCCGTAGTCAGCTTCCACCCATATAACATAACCAAATGTTTCATAGTCATCGGTCATAGCCTTGTTACAAACAGCTTGTGCAACAGCGGTCTTCCCAACACCTGCGATTCCATGTATGCAGACGACTTTGACATCATTCCTTAGGCTGATGCACTCCCATATCTTTTGTACATCATCACCTCGCGTCTTCAACACAATATCACTATGAGACCACTTGTATCCTTTCACCACAGGCTTATGTCTTTCTATCAGCTTATCAATCTTCTCAATCTCCTCTTGAATCAATTTTCTTGCAGCACGCCTGCGACAACAGTTAGGCAAGCAGCCACTCGTACATGTGGCTTCTATGTTGTTTTCTAGGCGTTTAATCTTTTCTTCTACGTCTTTGAGGGTGTCATTTGCTTCTTTCTTCCATTTTATGGCGTCATTATTAGGGATTGCAATCCCGTTTACTTGTCGTTCAAATGTATCTAGCTTATCTTTGCCTGTTTTTAGCTTCTCCTTCAACTGATTCAATTTCGCTTCTAGTACTTCAAAAGTGTACGGAGCATATGCTTCTCGAATGCAAGGAGATACTAACCCGTTAACTAGAGCAGCAAGTGTTTTCGTTGCAGCTACTGTACAGCATCAATGTTAAATAGGTACATACAATGGAGGAGATAAAGCAAAGTTAGCAATCAAATACTTCAAAGTTCAAACTGATAAGTACAAATTTTACAAGCCATAAACTCCGATATACTGTGACACTCCCACTCCCTTCCCCTCTGATTAATCACAACGTACGACTTTGAAAATGCCTGACTTTATATTTAATGCTTGTCAATGTATTACTTTGATCATTAATATATTTGATCACCATGTAATAACATTCTACTTTGTAAGAAATAATACCCATACTCTATATATTAAAAAAAGTTTACTTTTTCGTACATTGAAATAAACCAATCCAATACGGAATAATGCTTTAGGTTGTTCCTCAATAAAATTTTTAAAAAACAAGCCATCAATGACTTGAGGTTATTACTCGTACATTTGTGTATTACTGTATGTATTAGCAATTTTTTTTTTTTTGACGGGGTATTAGCATTTTGATATCAAAGATAGCGGATAAATAATGTAAAAATCAACTTGTCACGGTTAATTAGCAATCAAAGGGAGTACTCCGTAAATATTTTATCCACACACTTAAAATATTATATTATACAGTGGGATCCTTCTTATGGTAAAAAATTAGAAATACAGACCGCTGACTCTAGGACCATTCTATGGCGTAGAAAGTAGATTTTAGGCACACACTTTAGATTTGCCCATTGGAGCTCTTTCTATTAAGCCAAATGCAAATACTAGTAGTATGCTGCTGCAACAATATAACAGTACAACAACAACAACCACCACCACCTCTGGGAAGAGCGTCCTAATTTATTTATTTTTTACCTTAAAGTGCATCCTAATACGGAGTATTTATTTATTTTATCTCTCAAAAAATGAGTTGATTAGTGTTGACTCGGTAGATCCACTATTTTGATTGTTTTGTCACATCTCGATTCAATAAGTTGGTTGTGATCCACCCTTTAGTATTGAGATTTTAGCCAATTAACGATTTTTTTCTCTAAATTTACAAAAACTTAGGATATGTTTAATTTACTTTATTCCAAAATCTTATTACCTATATTTCCGATCAGATTAGGAAAAATAAAAAATAAAAAAAATAAAAAAATAAAAATTGGCCAGAATATAAAAAAAAAAATCTAATAAGCCTTGTTTAGTTCAACTTATTTTTACTATTTTAGAAAAAATAAGATCAGATCAGAAGAAAAAATAAGTTCAAATCAGAACATTGTTTTATGTGTGGTTTTTTATCGCAAAATATTTTTAATTTCGTAATGAAAAAAATTGTGAAAATTACATATTAATAAACTACACATTATTACGAATCTAACAAGATCCCACTTGATATATTTTTTCCTTATAGATTATCGTACACTTAAGGTCAAAGTTTGGTCAAATCAGACAATCAGATCAGATCAGATCAGTAAAAATAAGGTGAACCAAACAAGGCCTTCAATTGATTTATATAAATACTATATTTTTTCTTCTAGATTATCATACATATAATTTAAAAGTTTGGTTGAATCACACAATCAGATCAGATTAGATCAAGCAGGACATAAAGAAAAGAAAATGTACCTGGTTCTGGCATTCTTTTTTTCCCTTTTTTGGTGCGTGCAACGGATCACAAGTTTTAAAAATGTTACTCGCCAAATTCACCCCCGTTGTTCTTGATCATAGTTGTATTCCGTATATCTCCTCCACAAAGTTAGGAAAAAGCCAAGTTGATTTGAATACAACCTTATTAATTCTTACGCACCTAAGTATACAAACAATACTCATCATTTACTCATCAAAACTATACAAAGTATATACTTCGTAGTATTCATGGGGTTGACGTCAATATTCTAGACGACTATCATATGAGGTGAGTTCAGTACATTTACATAGAAGTTTAATACAACATCCGTTTCATATTTTAGGCAACTTTAGGCTATTATTTGTGAGATATAAAATATTCTAAAGTTGCAAAAAATATGAAACAAAGGTAGTAAAAAAAAATCGATTGATAATGAAAAGATTAGTTCGTCAAACTCTTAACTAGTTATTTCATTTATTCGTCTTTTTAAACAAATTACTCAAATGACCACATAGGGTCTTGACAAATTGTGTAATGATAAACGTGTACAGTAAATTTCACTCAATTTAAAACTCAAAAAATTGAATGAACATTCACTAATAAGCTGTTAAGAGTAAAATGCAAAGGACTAAGATCAAGAAAAACATACCTGAAGAAGCTGCAGAAAGAAACTCCAAAAAGCTATACTGAATAGAGCTAGTGAGAGCTTAATTGCTATTGATAGAACATTAGAACGACCATTAATACTTAAGAATTAGTTTTATTTTAATAGGATTAGAGATGTGTTTTTATTTTTTTTATTTTTAAGCCAACTGTTGATTCTTCTCTTCTCCTATCATTTTAGTAGAAATTTCGTATGATAATAGAGGTTGAAAATAATTATATATACCCGGGTACACTACGATTTTACTTTTTTTAAAAAAATTATTTTAATCATCCAGCAATTACGGAGTACTCATCCAGCAATTATAGAGTACAATTATATTTTGATTTTTTAATGAAAGGTACATCCTAACCTATCAAGAGTAATAAAATTAAAGAACATCGCTCTAAGGAATCGATATAATGTCTTCAAAATCTTTGTCCAGTTATGCTCACAATCTTGACATTATTTATTTATTTGAGATGAGATAAGATAAGCTCAAAATGAATAATTTTATACAAAGTATGTGCGAAGTATTTAAATTGGGGTAGACAAGAATTATCCAAATTAAATTTACAAATTCAATAATGATATGATTTACACAAATTCTTATATGTGGCTGTCACAGGGGTTACTTCGTCAATGTTATAGGGTTACTTGGTCGGTGTTAAAAGGATTACTTTGTTCTTTTACAACCAGCCACATGGCGTGGATAACTACACACAAGACGGAATGTTGTATATTCGTATTCGTATAGACGTATATAAGGTATATTGCAACGTTGCTAACCATTATGTAAAGCTATAAAATCCGTATTTGTGGTTTGGTTTTGATGATGTCAACTCTCATTTAGTCATTTGTTAACTCGTCGCTATTATACCATGTAAAAGTCAATACCTAATGTTTTAATTATTACTCAGTAATTTATAAATATGCAATTGGTGCAAATAATAATGACAAAGATATAATGTTTTTTTTTTATTTCCTCTATCATGTTCTTCCATGGTTGACTTGGGAAAAAAAAAAGGTTAATGTTAGATTAAGTTATCTTACTCATCTTATTTAGATATTTTCTCTGTTTTAATTACTCCGTAGTTAAATACACTTTCATAAATTTCATTAGTTCTTTGTGTACAACTTGTGGGTGAATCTTTGTAGTCAGGGGTGTTCAAAAATTGGTTGGATCGAAAAAATGGACTGAACCGGTCCGGATCGACACCGGACCGTATCAAATTAATCAGTCTGATCTTCGGGTCGAGAAATTTATTTTTCGATGCGGTCCAAAACCCTATAAAAATTGGTCTTGGAGCAGACTGGTTTTTTCCTTTAATTTATACATAAAACCTTTAATAATTATTAAGATTATCCTTAACAAGCTTGAAAAACTTTAGTCATATGAGCTTTTTTTTTCCTAAACATATAAAAAAAAACAATTAAATATTGTTTTTCCTTTATTTTGTTTTTCAAATTTCCATAAATTATTCAAAATTTTGGAATTTTTTTTATAAAAATTCTAAAATCAGTCCAAACCGGTCTGGTCCGGGTTTTGGACCGATTTTTTGGTTCAGTCTGGATTTGGTCCTAGCTTAATCAGTCCGGTGTTCGATTCTTGAAATTCGATTTTTCGGTTCGGTCTTGGACCGATGAACAACCCTATTTGTAGTACTAATTTTATGGAGTAAGAAATTATGAATATAGATAAGCTTAATAGTTAATATGATGAGTTTAATCCCAGTTTCTTTTTCTTAGAGTCATAAGGATTAGCCAGAAAACATTTTCTGATTGGTAACAAAGCAAGCTTACCTTCTAGTTAGTACTAAACCTACTAGTACATAAACACCGGCTACTACCAAGTACGAGAAGATAATTAGTCACAAAGCTAAAAATTAAACAGTAACATTCCCATGTCTAATTACCATCTTACTAAGCATAATTCGTTAACGAGTTGAAAGAAATGCACAGTCCTAACCACTCCACAAAGCCGAAGCAATCACTTCACAAGCCGAAGACTCACTGTGCCTCATCAGGAAAAAAAAGGTCCAACGTGCAATATCACACCACCATGCAAGCTGCATATAGCATGGAATTGAAACAAATAGGCAAATCAAACATTAGCATAACAGAGGAATTAACACTACATAATCAAACACAATGATCATTCAAAGACTTCACGCTGTAAAATCCATCTCACATAACAGATTTTCATAAGCTGAATAATGTTCATTCATAAATAAGCATACGTTGTGTTATAATATGCAAATATTAATTACAAAATCGACAAAATTGGCTTTGTGAATGTTAATGTAGATAGAAAGGGTTAATGTTCCATGGAAAAAAAGATGTCAAGTTGTCAACCATTAGCTACTATATTCACTTTATACACATGAACATGAAGTTATCTAGGCACAAAGCTTAATTCACATAGTTTAATTGTCCCTTGGCTATCTAATATCCGACAAGTGCAATGTTAGAAGAATCTTTATTATAATTAAAAAAGAAATCATAAATAGCTTTCGATTCTGAATCAATACACTTAGTAAAAATAGTAATTTAGCATCACAAACCTGAAAAACATATCTAGAATTCACGACGAAACTTCATCATTTGGTTGCACATTACAAAAGCTTTTCCCATGCGTCTACAAAGAACCACGACAAAATTAGTATCAGTCAAAGAGCGTCAGGTGACAAACACATTTCAAAACCAACAGATGAAAAGTATGCTTACAGAACTTCTAGGGTACACCAAAGGTATATATAGGTTAAGATTGATGTATCTTGGGGTGACTTTTATACAGTTTAGGGGGTTAGAGTGACTTTCTGATTGTCATTGAGTTTACAATTTAATCCAGATTCTCAATTGTAAGGCCAGGTAACCCTGAACATGTCTTATACTATACACTTGTCTTATCCTACAATGTATGTGCAACCAAGGAATGGTTAGATGTTCGGACTGAAGCAAATTATTAAGGTGAATTCAAGGTTTTAATCATATAAGTTATACATGACACTTAGCATGCAAGCCAGTCAGGTTAGTGAACAGAATAAGCTGTGTTATTCTTCCAAATTCACAGACATAAAAAGTCAGATACCGATATGCATGTAATACATTAACTAGCGTAGAACAAGACTGTCAAACAGCCCTAGTGCTTCCTTTCTACAAGTAAAGGGCACAATTTAGGACAATCCTTAAGGAAATTTGTGTAGATAAAGGTATCTTACACTCTGATAGTATCTAGAGATGAAATATTCTCATCTTCATTGCTGACAGTGTCATCTTCCTCCAAACGGACAGTCCTGTAACCACAATTAACATAACTCAGAACACAACAGAAAAATCGTACAAGAGACTAAAGCATATTTTCCTCCATCGGTTCACAAATGACGTGAAACAACAGGTTAATAGCTCTTATTAGCTGAACATTTTTTTTCAAATGACATGAAAAGTTCCAATCATAGAAAACTATCATCAGTCAAATACTTCGGACTCAACATCTTTAATATATGATTAGTTTCTGCATCAGGAATCAGATGATTAAGAACCAACCAACTAAATTGAGATCAAACAATCCAAGAAGCAAGGCTACGTGAAGTCATGAAAGACATGAACTTAAAGATAATAAAGATATTTTAGCATAATTGTTAGGAATATAGGAAAATGTACGAACATTTAATTAGGTTCACTAAGACCACATTGGCCACTCAATCATAAGAAAGCATAGGTAACCAAGGCTTAATTTCTTACTAAATAGCATTAAGAAAAAAAAAAAAAAAATATTAAGTTATTCACACAATGAAGTTAAAATTGTTCATACCTCTTGCTCTCACAATCTTTTTCCAGGAAAACTAGGCTCTCCGTGAAAGTACAAGCATAAAAGGCAGCGAACATGCCATCATCGCGAATAGTTATCATGTTTTTGGTGCCAGGATCGTAAGACAACAGCTCTCCTTCAAAGGTTTGTGCTAGTACCTCTCCATTCTGCCTCCACCTTAGAACCTTGAGCAATTTCGGCTCCTCAAAATCAACACTCAGAACCTTACTCCAGGAATCAATCACATCATACTCCTTCTGAGTCCACATCTCAAAACCGTCTCCATACTTCTTATACTGAATCATTGACAGCAAACCCTTGGATTCGGAAACCTCAAGAACAATGGGGCAGACCCCAAGTAATGCCAAAGGCAATTCCATCTTCCTAAACCTCTCTTCCTCAACATCAAACACCAACAGACAATTGTTCTTAAACGACGAATCAGACTCTTCCTATCAAATCCAACCCAATGAACACACCCTTGCAGACAACACTGAGACCAAATATCCTCAGCAATGCAAGTAGTAACATCATCAGCAAAAACCCATCTCCAAACCCCTAATTTAACACTATAAACCTCAGTTTTTGGAGGAATTTCATCTAACCCAGAACTAAGCTGAATGTAAGAAACCCTAACAACCTTCAAATCCTGATTTTTGGAATCATACCCAAATCCAAAAACATGCATATAAGGTCCAACAACATCAAACACAATTCTGGGTTTTGGTAACTTAATATGCTTCTTAATCAAAGGATTCCATAAATAGAAAGTATGTTTGTTCCCAAATTGAGTATCAGCAAGAAAAACAACACCATTAACACACCCAACAACACGAAAATTCAAACCCACCCCAGTTTTAAAAGGAAGAATAGAACCCTTGTTAAAAAGCCCAGAAATTTCTTCAGAATCAGAGAAAAAATGGTAAGATTCAACACCATTTTCAGCCAGGGAAGCTTTAGTGAAGCTTCTAAGGAGGAAATTGAGATGGGTTCGATGAAATTTAGTGTGTGAAGTTATGAACTGAGGAGATAGAATGAGAGAATACCATGTTTTGCAGACACAAATGCATTTACCTAACTCTTTTGCTGGGATTCTCTTCAGAATTTCTGACCATAATTTTTGCCAAATTTCAGCCATTTCTGACGTTGTTGATGAATCTGAATCTCCCATTATTCTGAAGCAGAAAAACCCTGAAAATGTGAGAGCTTTGAAGAAAAATTAATTTGTGCTAGTTGAAGAAGATGAGTGCTGAAGAAGGAAAGGGTGGCAGAGTGGTTTTTTTGTAAAGTTTGCAGAGTTTAATTCAAACAAATAGGAAATATTTTTTGCAGCTTTTTTTGCGCAAAAAGACAAATTGTTGTACGGAAAATGTACTTCTTAAAAAAAAATATTTGCATTTTCTACTTGAAGAATTGAAGTTGGACTCAATTATGGTAGAGCATTTGTCCAATGGGCTCGTCTCATTTCCTTGGGCTTTGGGAGCTTGAGTTCTTCCTAAAGCTGTCAAATAATTTTTAACTAGACTCTAGTGTATGTAGCTTTTCCTACACCCCCTTTCTATACTACGTCGTTTTATCAAGCAGCTACTTTTGCATAATTTTTTTTCCTTCCCTTCTTTACCTTCCATTCAAATAAGTACTGTATATAAACATTTTTATAGACTTCATTTTCTCTCTCATTTCTTTCACCAATTTCATTTTCTCTCTCCTCTTTTTCACCAATTTCATTTTCTCTCTCCTGGTTTTTTTTTTATTTATTGTTTTTCAATTTTCTCTCTCTTCTTTCATGGAGATCAATATAAGTAATTCTTACTTTTAATGATAATTCGTCAATTGTTTTGATAATGCTTTGTTTTACAATTGTAATTGGATGATTATAATGATCTGATTTCATAGTTTTTGTTGTATTGACTTTAATTTTGATAATGCTTTGGTTTTGTTATTGTTGTTATTAGTTGATTAATAATTTAGTTTGTATTGTTCATCTAATTCGGGGGTTTTTTTTTGTATTTTTGATTGTTGTTTATTCCAGTTTTGTGCGTTTCGTATGAGTATATATTGTTGTTTTAATTTTGCTATTCGATTATTTTTACCAGTTTTGTGCGTCGTAAAAAAATAATCTTAGTTAAAATAATGATCACTTCTGTAACAGTAAATGTTCAATTATATTTAATGTATTTTTTATGTATTAAAATACTTGTATATGTTTATTGTAGTTGTATTTGAATACTTATGTTGTACATGTGAATTTCAATTATTTTCATTGTTTTATAAATGCTCATATACATTTTAACTAGTGAATATATTTATATTTGTTCTGTTGTAATAATGTTCATTTAATAATTATAAATGTTCATTTATATATATACTTGTGTTTATGGAATTATATGTTGTACATGTGACTTTTTTTAATAATTATCACTATTTTGTAGTTTCAGAAATAATGTTCAGTTATATGACGATAGATGATCATTTATGTTTTACATTTGGTAATTCAACTGTAATTGACCAAATGCATCATTATAATTGAACATTATTGCTAATGTAATTTATTACATGTTACATTATTGCAGTGGGAAAAAAGGATATTATTATTTTTGAAGAAGCAAGTAAGTCTGAGTTAGTGGGGAACGAAACAATTTAAAACTGCTGATGAAGTTTATGAAATGTGTTCAAATTCCAATTATATGGTCAAGCAAATAATCAAGTTGCTACTAGTGTTCAAAAGATCGAGTGCTCAACTTCCTCCCATTATCTTCCAAAAATGTAAAAATTCCTATAAATGCTCAAATGGCTCTAATATTTATAAGAATATCTTTAACCTTTTGTTATTAGGATCTTGCTAACGAGCGCCCCGGGGCGTTAGATAAGGTTAAATTATATTGGTTGAAATAGTATTAAGTTAGGAATTCATGACAAAATCATACGTCGTTCGGTGCAATTAATGTTAATTTTACTCTAATATTTGCACTTTAATTATCTTATCTAACGCCCCGGGGGCGCTCATTAGCTTTTGCCTTGTTATTAAGTACTATTCTTATTGAATATTAATTTTTTTTAAAATCTTCTATAAGTGAATATTTTAGTATTTGTAATTGAGCATTTAGTTTTTAAAAATGATCATTAAGTTTTTGTAAAGAACCATTTAGCTTTTGTGAATGATCAAAATTGATTAACATAATACTTTACATAAAATCCGCAATTTTCATATAAAATTGTAAGAATTATTCTATAAACAAATAATATCTACTCCGTATCAAACTTTAAACGTATAAAATTAAAAAGTTAATCACATAGAGTAATTCTGTTAACAAATAATATCTACGAAGTATAAGTTTTATCAACCAGCTATGGACATATATCTATCCATAAGTGAACATATTATATTATGCCTTTGCAAATCTTCTTGATGCTATTCTATTATTCTTAGACTCATGGTTTTTCTTCAGTAGCATTAGTTGAGCAGTGTATTGCAATTTGCATCCCCAACCTTGTGATTTAGCCTACATGTTAATGAAAATGAATTGTTATTAAAATACACAGTACATTAAGTGTTATATAATTGAAATTATGTGCTACAAAATTGAACACTAAAACTATAACTTGTTTATTAAATTTTACTTAAAATGTTAGCTTTAAAGGCACAAACCTAGATTTTCGACTTATTGTTCTCTTTTTGCCCAGCTTTTTAAGAAATTTCAAAGTTGAATTGATGGTTTATATATACTTCATTTATTTTATGATAAGAATGTATAAGTATAACTAAGCGTTATATTTATGAACATTTAGTTATCTATATTTGAACATACTTTTTTAATTATGTATGAATGTGTGTCTTGAGTTTGTTAAAAAAAAAAAAAGTGTATCTTGAGTTGTACGTAGGTATACTATCTTCTTTTCACTTAAAATGGTACTTCCTCCGTTTTTCTTTTATTGCACCATAAGGACTTTTACACTATTCACTTTATCTTCTTTGACCATCTTTTGTGATTTATCCTTTAGGAAAAACATATTTATGTGGGATCTAGTTACATTCGTCTTGAAATCTACTTTTCAAATATCAATTTTTTATAATTTTCACAAAAGTATAATTAAAGATATTAATAGCCAAAGTAATGCATTGACAAGCGTGAAACACTTTATACTAATAAATGTTCATATATTACAATCCAGCTTATGGTTCAATAAAAAAAAAAGAACGGAGGAAGTATAAAAATTACAATCCAGCTTTGTTTGTTATGCATTTTATAAATGTTTATATATGTGTGTAGAAATGTTCATTATATTTTAAAATCATGAACACATTAATAAATGTAAAAGCAGATATATAAACTATTAATTAACATTTAAATGAATGGTATTTCAAGTTTTGTATGCATTCATAATATATTATACTAATCATTAGCACATATTTTAAAAAAAAATCAAATTAGAATATGTTAATGAATACATATTAACATGTAATTATAGGTAAACACGTGAATAATTTCATTATATGGAAATGAACGTATAGTGCTTTGTAATTGTTCAATTTACCTATGCATTCGAGATATTATTTTTTCAACTGCAACACTCGATACTTGTATATCTTTTAAAAGTGTTGGATCTACAATAGGACATTTTTTCTCACTTTTTTTTTTCTTTTTCTAATTTTATGTAGAGGTGTTTCATCATCACTGTTTTTACACTATATATTTATTTATAAATAATTTTTTTGAAGAAATATTTGTAAATTTTAAAAGTTCGAGTAAATATATATTTACATTTCTGAAGAATCATTGTTTTTCTTCTCTGAAATAGATTTTTCCGAACCGAAAATTAAATTGAAACAAGTATATGTTAATATTACTAATTATTTGCCTCAAAAAAAAATATTACTAATTATTCGAAATTAAATAGTCGCTTTGAAATTGATCAATAATTAACATAAACACTTACATTGATACATTTTCAGCGATTGAACTATCAATTTGTTTCTCGGAACACAATCACAAACAAATTCTCAAAAAATTAGGGTTTGTATTTATATCTATTTATTTTTTTTGCTATAAACATGAACATTAATACTTACTCTTTTGATTTCCGCTTGTTTTTTTTTTTTTGGTGAAATTTGCTTCAATTGTTTGATTTCGTCTATGAAATCTGCCATTGTTGAAGTTTTAGAGCTTTAGATGCGAGAGAGAATGGAGAGAGAAAATGAAAAGAGATTGAGATGAAATGAAAGTTTTTTTTTTTTTTTTTTTTTTTTTTTTTTTTTGTGTGTGTGTGGGGTAAGGGAGTTTACTGACAGTTTTTTTTACTTAGGATAGTAGGGTGTATTGTGGCCTTTGTGGGGAGTAATGGTACGCTGTGTTTTGTGGGGGTGTAGGGATAGTTCCCTACCATAGGGTCTAGCCATAAATAATTAGTCAAATTAGGTCTATGATCGGATTCTAATTACGGAGTAGGTCTAATCGGTTCAAGCATATTGAATATTGGTTTATGTGGAGTTTGAATATCTATATAGAATGATGTGTGATTACACAAATTTTAAACGGATGAAGTGCGGATGACGGATGAAATGGGTGACGAATTGAGAAGTAAGTATGTTGATGTTGTAAATTTTTTTTAAAGGAAGCTAATTAAATTCCTATTATCACACGCTAATAAGTAACCAATCCACCTATTTCACTTGTGGATGACGGATGGATTGGATACGGATGATGGGTTAGGCGGGTGGTGGGTGGAGTGGATGGATGCGAGGGAAACTCCATCCGACCCGAATCTGATCAATTGCAACCCCTAGGGAGGAGGTGTGTAATGTGATATGGGATATGATATTTTACAAGTGTTTGAAGATCTTTTACAAGAATATGTAGATTCAAAATGATCAAACAACAAAGTTGTTCAAACAAATGTGAGTAGTAAAATCATAGGATAGCAATTTGGGAAATTATATATAGGTACATCTCTAACTTTCACAGCTTCAATTCAAGTCTCAAGATCAAGTGTGTTCAATTCTTTTGACCATTTTGGTAAAACCAAATTTAATGTCAAAATCCCAACTTCTAAATTGGAACTCCTATAAGGGTGAGTCTAATCTAGCAAGTTCACTATATCCTTGTTATTTGCTTTTCTAAATCGACGCTAGTATGACGCGTGTCTTTTGTTTGGCCCCTCTATGAGATCTTAAGTCAAGTACGTATGGATTGAATTTGTAGCAAATAAAGTTCTAGCAAATGAAATTTAACCGATGCACTATTAAAGCATCGATTGTATGAGAAAATTTCATAGGTTGAAAGCATCACACCAAAAAGATAAGAATACAAACTCACAAGTCTAGTTCATTCTTTTCTTAGAGACTAACCCTTTTAAGGCATGGGGGCCAAATATTTCATAACCACAAATACATAAGCTTGTTGATAGCATTCTTCACTTTATTATCATGATCATCGTGTAATTTTCATTGCATTCAAGATTTCAAGTTTCAATCAATCAATCATAAGCAACGCCCGTTTTTAAGTGCTTATCATGCCTATTCTATATATTTCACAATGGCTAAAAAAAAAACAAACGATATCGTAACAACAAATAATTACTGTTGACCTTATACATCAAATTGTTAATTATGATGCAACTTCCCAAGTAATATTCTTAAGTACAGTGATCAGACTAATTAATACATAAGTAACAATTGGATGGTGGAGGCATATGTACGATGCCTACTGTGCATCTGATGAACATCAACCGTATAACCAATAACATAAAAACTAAAACAAACGGAGCATATACTCCACTGAACATAAACTTCAACCCCTAAAGGTTGGATTATTTAGGAACAATGAAAACTTTAAATTATTCTCGGACAACCAGCAAAAGGTTGGATTAATTCTAGGCAGTTTTTCCTAGAACTTATTATAGTTTATTGTTATTCAATATACAGGTATAACATTTGTCCTTAAAAGCCATTTGCATAGCTAGAGGTGTCAATTCGGATGATCGGATCGGGTCTGATAAGGTCGGGTGGATCGGGTCAGTTTATAAAGTTGAGTCATGCTAAATTATTATGTTCACACGAGTCTAAATTTGAATCGAATATTTTTCAGGTCGGTTTTGAATCGAGTTGGGTCGGATGTGCTTTTGACACCTCTATGCATAACTATGGCCAATAGCCAACAAGGGCAATAACTACTTTTAACCAAACATATTTAAATTCAAAAAAAAATATATATATATAAAAAAACCCGAAGAGTACAGCTGAACAATCAAGTGTTTGTAGTAATGAATCAAAGAAAAACCGCTCTTTGTTAGCAAATGTTA